CCCCAAAACCCCAAAACCCCAAAACCCCAAAACCCCAAAACCCCTTGTTATAGTTCAAAGATTGAACTTTTTGAAATTTTTATAATACTTTATTTTTATCAGATTACCATGCTTTAGAGAATCTTCCAACTCCATCATCCTTATCCTTCTTTGTTTTCTTTTTCTGAGTTCTAATTACCTTCTTGACCTCTTGAGTTTCCTTCTTTTCTTCTCTTGAGGGGTTAAGATTTCTCTTCCAATCAGTTGCAGTATCCTTCTTTCCAGAAGTGAAAGTAGGTCTCTTACCTTCAAATCTTGGAGGTTTACTATCACCTGCTTCAGAATCCTCTTTTGGAGCGTTTAGGTTTTCCTCATTATCTCCAGTGCCAAACATGCTCCTTCCAAATCCAGTTGTTTTGGAGGTATAGTTCCTTGGTCCATCACTATTTTTATCGGTTCTTCTGCTTTCCTTTCTGGTAAATTCAACAGTTGGCTGTTTCTCAGTTCCAAATCCTATCCTAGAGAAGCCTCCGTCATCTCCAGTACTTGTGGGGGTTGTAAAGATACCGCTCTTTTCTCTAGTCTTTCTGTCTCTTTCTTCAAGTTCCTTTCTTCTCTTCTCCATGGCTTTCTTGTTCTCTTCTTTCCTTAAGGAAGTCTTTGCTTTGTTGAGAATGTAGTTCTTCATTTCCAATGTCTTATTGGTGATGTATTCCGCTGTTTCGTTTACAAGCTCAATCTTTCTCTTCTCCATTTCGGATTTGATGTAGATATCCCTTGACTCTCCAGAGGAAATCAAAGCGTGTTTGAGAGTTACATCACTAGCATGCTTCTTTTCCAAGGTTGACTTCAAATCAGCAATTTCAGTCTCGTTTCTAACCTTCAGTTCCTCTTCAAGCATTGGTTTTTCAAAGATTCTTCTAGCTCTTTCAGTCAGGTCAGTCTCTTTAATAAGCTGGTTGGCGAAAATATTAGCTTGCTCTTGCTTTTTATTGTAAATAGCATCAACGTTTTCCTTCACAATTCTGTATATAACATCAATATCATTATCTAAGGACCAGACGTTCTTGAGGGGTACACTTCCAATGGAATTAACGTTCTCTGATACAAGATAATTGACACATTCCCTAATTTTTCCTCTAAGGTAATCAGCTTTCTCTCTGAGGACTTCTTCCCTAAGCATTTTTCTCTCAAGTAAGTACTGGTCTTGCTCAAGTTGTTTCTGTCTCTCTTGAGCAGTGAGGTTGGCTTCATTAATTTCCTTCTTCTTTCTTTCCTCTTCTTCCTTCCTGACTCTACGGTTCTCTTTCTGTTCTTCTTCATATTTCTCAGTGGCGTCAATGAAGTCGATGCCCATTTGTTGGCAGACTCTTTTTGTGATGTCCCTGATTTCTTTTTGGTCGATTATTCTGTTGGCATTTATTAAGGAGTCAATGTGCCTCATTTCTTGTTTGAAGGTATCAAAGGTTTTGGAGACTACTTCTTGTTCAGGAAGAGAGTCGAAGATGATCTTTTTATGCTCAGGGTCAATTTTTATGTGGAATAGCCTCTCAAGGGTCTTGTACACGGTACTTGAGGTGTTACCTAATAATCCTCTGCTGTAGGTAGCGGTAGTCTGTTGGGAAGTAACGTAAGTCCTGTTTCCTTCAACAATAGCTTTCTCGCATTCGTAGAAATTCAAGAATCCGAAGATCTTCTTGAAGCTGTCGAACTTCATGACCTTGAAGACTTTGCCAAGTTGTTGTAAAATTCTCAAGATCAAGTTGTTTCTAATTTCAGAGTAGAATTGCGAATATTCTTCGTGATCACTCAGCCAGTTTAAGATTTTCTCAGAGTTCTTAGAGAGATCTGCTGGCTTAGTGGTGTTCTCCTCCATCAAAGAGAAGAAGGTCTTCACTTCTTTAGAGCAGATGGTGAGTAGGTTGCTCTTTGCAATCCATTTGAGAATCACCTCTCTACTAAGATCTCTAGCTTGATCAATAAGATCACAGTACTTGTAGAACTCTTTACGGTTATTAGAGTTAGTGCCCCTCAAAGTAGTAAATCCAATTGGTTTGAAGTTTGAAGCATTATCATCTAATGGGATCATGAGATAAGCTAAAATAATCCTATCAGCGAATTTAGCCTTATGAGCAGCATCTCTGGCTTTCCATTTTCTGTATTTCTTATCTGCAGAGCAGAGAGATCCTGCATAGAAGAGGTAGAATTTAGCTTTCTTGAAAAGGTCAGCAGCATTTTCTAAGAAGTTAGCCTTCTGGAATGGCTTTAGACCTTCATAGTTCTTGCTTCTTCTAAGCTTGTCAAGTTCCTTAATGTCTTTAATGATCTTGAGAGAATCAGACCAGTTATCTAACTTTAAAGTGAACTCTAAAGCTTTGAGTCTGAGGTCAAGAAGGGAGTTGAAGCAGTCATTATCCTCAATATAAATTGGATGAGGGATGTTCTTCAAATTCTCTGGCTTTTGAGTGAAAATGTTTTTCAAGTGCTTGCTCAAAGTATCAGTGATCTTTTTAAACTCAGACTTTCTATTGTGCTCAACACAGAAGTTCATACTATGCTCAGCAGTAGTATTGTAAAGATTGAACATGGTTGAGTTAGATCTTAGAACATCAAGGATGATCTCATATCCTTCCATCATGAACTTAATACATGGACCAAGCTTATCTTGAGTCTTAAAGTCTTCTTCAGTCTGGAAAGCAAGGAGGAAGAGATCATCAGCAATGTATCCGGTTTCAACATCCTCAATGCTGACATTACCCTTAAGGTCGGCTTTGATGGATTTGAATTTGTTTTCAATAGCTTCTCTGAAATATTTAAGTACTCTTTCAAGAGTCTTTCCGTTCTCATACTGCATGACATTTCTAAAGTAAGAGAGATCTTCCTTAATATGCTTCTTGTTAAGATACTCAACGCTAAGGTCTATCTCTTTAATCATGAGACCCTCAAGTGCCTGTATATGTACCTTCTTTCTGGTCTTTAAGGCTTCTTGGAGGTAGTCTAGTGCTTGTTCGATTCCTTTTTCGGCTAATAGCTCATCAACTCTGATGATTGCTGGATCAGTCGTGCTTGACATATTTAATTAATGGATATATTTAGCAAATCAATATTTTATAGCGATAAAGGGGTTTTGGGGTTTTGGGGTTTTGGGGTTTTGGGG